ATTAAGAATTTACTGTAGAGGTCTCAACAGACACCTCAAAGTTGTTGTTCTCATCCATCTGTTACTACTCTCTTCTAAACAGGATTAAAACTAGGTTAAGAGAACTTCCTCCCATGTGAATGACATTTTAGGATTTTGGTCATGCTAATGGAATGCACAGGAACAGGACATATGGAACAAGTGACAACCACGAGTTGTTCAGTAGCCGTACTGCAATGCTTGATAATCCAGTTAGGGCCAGGGTGTAGGCAATGCAGAGGCCAAAGCATAACATGCCACAGGTGTCCTCGCACACCCCGCTCTCCCCGAAAGGGGACACTTGGTTATTACAACATGAGTTTGCTCATCTCTAGTTTTCCAGGTGAAGACAGCAGTCCTAGTTCAGTATCAAGCACCCCAAGTTGGGAGCTTTTTTGGTACAAGAACACATATTAAATGTCCCTGTCTACTCAAAGGGCTTTCATTATTTTCTTTCATGTTTCCTTTCTCTATATAGCATCAGGAGAAAAGGTCTTAATGGAAATCTGGTGTAGCCATGGTGACCTCCTGGCATCTTGGTCTGCAGAGAGTCCAGGAGAACGTGACTCAAACTTCCTCAGGCACAAGGAAGCCTTCATGACCTTTCAGCTACAACCCATTCATACTCTCCCAACACTTGGAAGCTGGATATCAGATGGATCCAGTAAATTTCCCTTAAGTTTTGGCAGCACAGTGGACTGAAGGCAAATACCCTTCTACTACTGCTATTTAGTATTAACTCTGTTTTATCTGTTTTGTGTTCCATGGAGGTAGCATGGGTGCAGCAAGCCTCAGCATTTAGCACATCTGCAACCTCACATTCATCAATGGTGGGGGAGGGAAATAAATCAGCCATCTGGTCTTCCAAACATATGTGTAGCCTCAGTCCACAACTGCTGAAACCAAAGCTAGCTCTCTGGGTGGCTCCATACTTTCTGAAAACAGCCTTGTGAGCCACTCCAGGAAGAGGACACTACCATTCATTAAAGTCACCTTGGCAATCTGTGTCTCAAAGTCCCAGCTTAGTCATGCATTTAAGTGCCCTATTTCCTCCATATACCAATTACACACGCACAACAAGTATTTTCCAATTGATACCAACAAAACTGTCCTGTGTGTTGCAGATAACAAACATTAATATGCATATTAATATCCCTGCTCATTCCTCATAAACATCTACCACAGTGCCTGTCCGTGGCTTCCAAACCTGCCTCACGTCTGTATTTCATTTTTCTGTAGCTCCCAGTTCACCTGTTAGCCTTGGAATTAAGCAGTAACAAGGAGACTTCATGCTTTCATGCAGCAAAGTACAACACTGGCTCAGAGCTGTATGTGGTGATAAGTTTAAGCAGCTCCACAGCTTACAGCTCCGTTGAAGAAACAATGGTCCAACAGCTCAGTTCCTAGAGATGACCTGTTCTGTACAGGAGTAGGAAAACTTTTACATACACACTGTAGCCACATGAATATCAACAGGAAAACCACTGATGTAAGTAACTTGGGCCTTGTGTGCCAGAGAAATTACCGTGTACGAAGAAAGGGCAGTTTGTCTGCAGAAGCCCAAGCACCAACCACTTAGAGCATCTCCTTAGGCACACAGGGACTTCATCTGTAGAGGTAAGCACCTAAAGTGTTGAATTTCAAGCATTAACTGCTACTTTGGGTCTAAACACTGTTGATCCATCTCCTGTATTAAGACAGAAAGATACATAGTAAGAGTGGTACCACAATTGCAAGGACTTAAAAATGCAACTCTCCACTTTTTAAAAATAAATAAGATTTACTCTAACCAGCCTTGTTTTTAGAAAAAACATTCTATTTATGGTTAGTCTTTGTTTTCTGACTGAAGCCAATCTGCAATCTAATGAACCAGAAAATTTTTTATTTCAGGACTCCACACCTTTGATGTTAACCCTTAGTGTGCGATTCACCTGTCTTGGAGATTTTAGAGTTCAAAGTCTGCCTTCAGGAGCCACTAACTAGAAGCATAACCTAGCAAACCAGAGTACTGCAAGTACTGTTTTTAATCAGAACCATTGAAGAGTTTGTTCTCCTGAGCAAAGAAGATACAAATGCTAAGAAGGAAGATCTAGCTTCTGCCTTGTACTCCCTGACTGCCTAAATTTATCTGAATTATTTCATTGTATAGTGCTTTAAACAACTGCCTGAGATTCTTGACTAACCAAGTCTGCAGAACCACAAAGTATCTGGAAGCCTTACAGGAACCTAGCACCAGAGGTGATCTTTTTGATACCACTGTAACACAGCATTGTTTTCTTGTAGTTCATCTCATCTATCTCCACAGTGATTTTGAAAGGCAGACAAGATCATTCTTATCTTCAGCTGCTGGGTTTTTATGGCCACGTCACAGTGCTGATAGCAAAGCATAGCGTGACACCACATAACTGTTATGAAGCTGCTTTGCAGGAGGTAAAAAAAAATATTAGGTTGTGAAAAAGCCAAATACCTTTTCTATATATTGACTGCAGGTTTATGCAGCATTATGGGGTAGTCAGTAAATCCTAGCCAGGACATCAAGGGATAAGACAGACAGTATTTAAGATAAAAATTACTCCTCACCACTCTGACTTTTATGTTTATATATATATATATATATATATATATATAAAGAAAGCAAACAGATACAGTGCTGAGATTCTGCTGGACTCCATATAAAAGACTTGATCACACTCTGCTTGCAAGTTATTTTACTTCCAGCTACAAAAAGAAACCATAAAATGCTATCAAGTCAGAGCAGTAATGCTTCGTTGCTACATTGTGCTGATACAAGATCTTCATAGCCCACACCATAGATGAAAAAGTTCGATCCTTTGGTCTTATTTGCTGTATTTTATTCCAGTCAAGCTCAAAAACCACCAAACACACAAAACCCCACAGTGGAGTAATAGCTTGCAGAGAGCCGGCAGAAAAGACTTGGTGTAAAATTGTGCTCTCTAGTGGAGAACTTTGATTTTGTGCAATAAAAGTTCAGGCCATGCTGTGATCCATCCACTTATCCAAGAGCTTTTCAGGGCAGAGAAAATATCAAGGTTTTCCACAATATGGAAAGGGTGCAAGTGCCTAGTTCAACAGATTTATTATAACCAAAGAGTTACATGACAGATTACAGAAACAGGTTAGTTTTACACCAGATAGTGCTACTTGGTTTACATAATGAAAACTAGGATTTTTCTATAAATAATGTTTTAAGAACAAAATTCTCTGTTGATTTAGTTTGAGAGAGAAGAACTGACATGATCACCAACTCTACATTTCTATTCATGCATACACCACTAATCTTGAACATACTGAATGGATCTTTAGGAGATACTAACTCCTGTTCAATTTGTTTTCTTACAGTGTTAACAAAATACAACTCATTTTCTTCATGACAGCTGCCCTACCACTTTTTTCTGGGCCAATGAATGCATGAACTCAATTTAGTAACAGATGAATTAGAATCTATTTTTTTAAAAACAACTTGCCCACTTTATCCTTCCTCAACAATATACAGGATTTAGCTTCTTTGAACTCTGTATCTTAACTAGGCTGTTGGAATAAAACTGAAGTTAGAAGACAGAAATATGAAAGATTTTAAAAAACTAAATGTACAGCTAACTTGCGTTAATTTTAAAATATATTAAAGTTTAGCATGCATTCTAATTCAAGAGTAAGGATCTAGGAGGATATTAGATTTCTCTTATGTGGTTGCAGAATGTTATGATCAGCTGTTGACTGTTACAGAAGGTAACATTCTCTCGTCCTCTTTGGCCCTTAAAGATTAAATTTGGGGGGGAACAGTTTTTTAACACATACAGAAACACCTTTCATGCTTTAAGTTCCCTAATATACACAGAAAAAGCAGCATAAAAATTCAGCAAAGCCAGAAGTCTAGATTTCTAGACAAACAGAATCATACAAGGTAAAAGATTTGCCAGCTAGATGTTTTTTAAATGGAAAAGCGTTCATAACTGATCTTATGCATAGAGCAAGGAGAGAGTTCCACTGACTTCCAGTGTAACTGGTGACAACAGGACAACAGTTTAAATGCTCATATTTAGTTAATCCCATGACAGCAAGCAGATTTCCTAAACTTCTGCATTGGTAGTCATGCAGAATTTTGAGCTGGGGAATAGTTGTCAGTGACTGGGTAAGAGAAAAACCTAGCTCTACTTCAGCAGTTTTGTCATATCACTTAATAGAAAGATGAATAAGAACTAAGTAATAAACTGTAGTTTGGGTATGGCTAAATATTTATGGCTGTTTATCAAAATATTTATGAAGTGCTGTAACTCTGCAAGACACTGTTCCATTTAATATTCACCTGCAAATTCTCACAATATTCTTTAAATGTATGTCCTTCACATGGCTGTATCACTTAAACCATACTTTTAATTTAAATTATATGTAAGAAAAAATTCGATTAATCTAAAAAAAAAGTCTAGAAATTAAAGAGCCAGAAAGACAAGCAAGATATCCCTTGAAGTCCTGTGCCCTACGTAGCTACTGTTACAGACAGGCAACAGAGAGAGTGATCTTAAATATGTTTAGTTTAAAATTCAATAGTAGTCATGCAAAATTAACACACAGTTGTGAGCATATTGCAGCACCACTTGAAGTTAACTGGTACATACTGTTAGCTCTGTTGCAGTAATACTGGTCAGTCACACTACTGCCCGTACGGAAGGGAGGCAGCCCAGTAACCGAGGGAAATGTCCAGGTTTCTAAGCCTCGTTTGAAAGCAGGCATGTTTGCAAAACCTCCATTTTTAGCTACAAAAGTGTTATCACAGCAAGGCAGAAATTTCACTGGGCTTTGCAGACTCAGCAAACTATATTACATCAGAGTTTGTTCATGATCAGAAGATATTAAGAAGTACAGTTCAGTAGATTTATGCATTAGGTTGTAAGCCATCTCAAAAGCAGGTCCAAAGTTACATTACAGGCTACAAGATCCTCCTTAGCAATTCAGTTTAGCCCACATAAGAAGTGCAAACGTGTGGTATCTTCCAGTTAAATCAACCTCTGCATGTCTTGAGGTGAGATAAAGACAGAGACCAAAACCCCAGACAATTCATACTGACTTCCAGTTGCCATCCTACAAGACAACTTTGTGAGGTTTTTGGGACACAGCTAGGAAGTCATCCACAGTGACAAATTACAGTTGCTACTGCAGCACTACCATGAGAGGACATTTTAAGGATAATTTACAACAACTCCTTCAGAAGCTATTGTGATAAAAACACCAAAGCTTGCACTGACCTATTTATAAATTCAAGTACTCTCTACTCCATGATAAAGAGGTTTTAAAGAATATGAAAGCACACTCCAGGTGGTCCTCTTAAGACAGAGCAGATTTCAGCCTTCTCTCAGTTTCCTATATCTCAACAGTTGCAGAAGTGCCATTTGTGTAGCCACCTTTAGACTTCATGTGCTCCTGAATTGATACAGCCTAGAAAAAAAGTTGATTAGAACATGCATCTTATAACGTCTGGTTGCCAGAGCAATTATTAAAAGCATCATACATTTACAGTGCTGGGTCCCAACAGTAGCAGGGAGAAATAACAACTAAACCCAGGACTGTAAAATACTCGTCAGTGCATGAGATGGGTCTTGCTATCTAAAATCTACTTATTCTTACATCTCTCACCTTGGCACAGCTTTGACTTCAGGGTAATGTGTTATCTGGACCTAGTATCAAGTGTGTTGACAGACTCCTTATCCAAAAGGTTCTCATTGTATGTAAACATACTGGGGAAATAAGCACTTCTTGCTGAATATCTTCCACACTATCTTATGTTTACAAACAAAAGGACAGTTCTTTTCTGATGCTATTCTATTGATGGAAAAAAAAAAGTCAGATTTTTCTCTCTCTTACAGTTATCTAGTATTTTAGTAGCTACCTACTCTACAGGTTACTCAGTGGAGATCTCTGCTTATCCAAGAGGTGCACACTTACTGATGAGTAGTCGCCACTCATCTCTCTCGCCCCAACGTGCGCAGTGTGTACAAAGTTCATTGGTTCTCCGATCATATTCCGGTCCAGTCTCCGACGCCTCTTCTATAAAAAATAAGATGTCTTAGGTCTCTGTTCAGAGAACGTGAGCAGCTTTCAGACAGAAACAAGCAGCTGAGTTTAAAAAAACAGACAGTCAGTAGTGACCCCTAATGACTCCTCATTAAAACTGGAATGACATTTCAGACTGTTTGCAGTAACAGAGGGTCAAAGTCACTTTTATTGATGCTAATTGAATTTTAGCAAAATCTTTCTTCAGGTTGGAAAGTCAGGGGCTGAGAACTCCAAAGAGCCATATGGCCAAAGCTTCTAGCAGAACACACATAGTTTAAACACAGTTTAACAGGTCTGGTTTTAGCTTTTGCATTATTTAGCCCAAACTAATCAGAAAAAACATGACAATGAAAGTGTTTTCCACATAACTGAAAGACAAAACTTCAAATCTGATAAAGGATGGCAGTTGTGCATCTACTTACCGGCTGGGGCTGTTCACCATTGCACCAATTAAAACAAACCAGGAATTCAGTCATTATATTTTTAAGTAAGTAATAAGGTCTTGTTAAGCGTAATTATTTCTCTGAGAGTTAAGGCAGTACGAGGACCAAGACGCAGTTCCTAAAGTCAGTCTAGGAAGGAATTGCTTGTGCAGGTTCACTGGTAAAGATCACATAAAGCATCTGATGAGTACACCTGCAAAGAGATGATTATTTACATTTATATTAAAGTATATCAAAGTCTTGTAACAGTTATTGAGCAATAGATATTTCAGAAGACTAAAACAAGACTGGAAAATTTTTAAACATACCTAGACAGAAGAGTAGCATCAATTTAAAATCAGTATGTTCATGTCAGAAATCAAGGTTAAGAACGCTACACGTTTACTCCCAGACAGACAGTAGTATAAGTTCTGGTTTCTTCACAGAAGTGCAGTAAAAGCAATGCTAGAATTAAGCCAAGTCTTGTTTAACAGTCTGTGATCTGGCTGTAAGCAGAGCTAGCCAACGCTTATTAACTATTTGGAATTTTGAAAGAAAACAGCTTTAGAGCACAACATATTAAATGCTTAACACTGGCAAACAGGTTCAAAAGAAAGTTCCCTTCTTACATCCGATATAGTTACTCTTCTTAAATATAAAAAAAGCTCAAAGTAAAGATTATTCCACAACTCCAAAAAGCCCTTAAAAGAGGAAAAAAAGTTTTGTATATCAGCAACAGAAACTGTTCATCAGAGAGAGCCTACAGCTTCCCAAAACACATAAATCTATTAACACAGCGCTTCTGAACAGAGACACAACCAGGAAACTCACTGACTTTAAGTGCCCTGAAGCTATGATAAAAAACAACTTTTTAGTGGTTAATGACTTTTTTTTTTTTTAAATATCTTCCTTCAAATCAGGAAGATGCTATACAGTAGCCTTTCACAGATCACTAAAACAATATTATAACATGTTATTTTATAAAGAAAGGACTTGTTTAAAGCTTACAGCTTAACAGAAGTTACAGCTTCATCAATTCAGTCTTTCTGAACCCCTACTGAAGTCTTCACAACCAAAGAGCATAAGCTTCCCCTTCACAGGTATTTCTTATGTAGTGCCACAATTATGTAATTAGCACATCTATTTCTTTCACCTGTGTGGTTTGCTTATGCTACATCACTTCTCACACTTCAAGCAGATTTTTTAAATTTCTGGCATTTGTCTTTCAAAGCGTTTGCTACATTTGCCTCTCAGCTTTAGGTGGCCTATATGACACATTTTGCAGAATGTGTCATGTATTATTCCATTTTATCCTGGGTGGTTTTAATACAATTAATTATCTGGCTCCATTATCATTTTTCACCTTACTTCACCCTCTCACAATGGTCTTTTATCACCACTGATGCCTTGTTTGGGTGCAGCAAAGAAGGGACTGTGGCACACATAACGATTAGAACATGCCAAAGCTTTTGCCTACAATTCACATGAGTAGCAGATGTTTTGGGTTTATTTCATGTTAAGGAGACTGTATCAAAGACAAGATTTTCTTAAAAATCATAAAGTGTGTCACTGTACACTAATCACCTATTTTGAAAGTAGACTAACTGAGATGAGCATCAAATTAGATAGGGAAACATCTCCATTCCAAAACAGCAGTTGAACGCCTACTCTCCTCCCACCACAGTGCCCTGAATTTGGCCATCCACCTCCACGGGGGTCGGTGCTTACCTGGGTGTTACCTGGGTCTCCCAGGACGTCCTGGTGGGATGGTACCTCCTCATTCAAGTGCAGGCACACAGCCAGCTCCTCTCTGGGCAACTCCAGCGTGTTTACAGTTCATATTCCTGGGTTATAATTAATCCTGATTGCTAAGCAAGAATGCTTCACAGGGATCCCATACCCCGCGAGGGTTCCTTCGCTCTGCGAGGTGCTGCACAAGTCTGTTGTGAGCTTCACACTTACCTACAGGTGTCAGAAAAGCAGAACGGAAACCAAAAAGAGCGCCCTAGTTTGGCAGCAGATTTGCGCAGCCGTGCAGTTTTCCCAGCACTATCCATACAGCCTGTGGCTCGCTTCCACCCCTGCGGCAGCTCTGCAGGTGTCCTCCTGGCACACAGCAGCGCTGGATGTCTTCCTGTTGTGTTTTACAACAGAACTCTTCTTTTCCTCTGCATGAGTCACAGTGTCATCCTCCAGGACAGCAGCGTCTGCGTCAGGGCACGGGACACCTCCTTCCTCCCAGAGGCTCAAGGTTTCCACTCTAACTGGAAGAATTTTAAAAACATCTTACTGCGTTTAGGCTCGCCCAGGACTAATAAAAGCCAACAAGAATCCTCAAACTGAGGAGAAAACAACATTTTGTCAGCGTTGGCACACAGACCAAAATTGGACAATATCCTGTTGTTCTTTCTCTCTATTTTTCCACCACAGCAGCAGCATCATCGAGGAGAGGGAGACAAAGGGCCAGGGAAATGGCTAGCACACGCAGACACAGATGTTGAATGCGATGAGCAGGATGTGCAGCCATTCTGGACTCTCGGGCGCCTGAGAGCTTTATGAACGTTCAGATACACTGTACTCAGCATAACACTCAATTTGTTCTATCTTTGTGTATTAAAAAGTATTCAAAATATTCTTGCATTTTACTTACAAAATACCAATTCTCTATGAAGTGGAAAATGTTTGCCTAAATCAAAACAGTTCTCCCTTTCCATAGCCATGACAGATGCACAGTAATCTTGGCAAGTAACACCTACCAAGCATATCTGCTCTTCACAACTGGCCTTTAGACTCAAGGTCTGATCACAACAAATCCTTGACTCTGAGTGATCAGTGAAAGACAGTGAGTGTAAAGTTAGCGCATATTATCACACATCAGATGCAGGGTAACATCACCCTGCCTCAAACAAGTTGTTAAACTGTGATAAATTCTTGTCTTTTTCATTCCAGCTCTGTCCATACTGAATTGAAGTGAGAGAAGCATATTTCAGCCTAACTGCCTTTCTAAAAATTGCTGTGTTTCTCATTTGTTCGTTATCCTTACTTTGCTCATTTGATATTTACATCATGTTAAAATACTGGAACAGTTGTATGTTTACACATTTGAAGGGCAAATTATGGTAAAAAACAGTGGAACTTGTATTTCTAGATCAAAAATTAGTTTTGAGCATGAAACTTGAGGAGTGCATCTTGCTTGGTGAAAGGTGAAGAGTAAAAAAAAAAACATTACCAAGACTCTGGAAGAACTTTGGAGCAAACTCCAAGAGTGAGCTTAACTGCTTTCAAATAGCATCCTGATTTTATTAATACATGTACAGATTAGAAATTTAGTTTGAGATGTAGTCTGATTATATATTGGCCTCCTGCCATTGTGAAGCTTCAGAGAAAGCTGAGAATAGGGTTTTACCTGAGACCTCCATTAATCTAGGTGAGTTGGTACTGTAAATCTAAGGAATTGGGGTTAGTCTCTGAGGAGATGTGAAGCTTCTCATTTAAAAGCTAAGTAGACACACACAATTAAAAAAAAAAATAACAAAAACCCCCAGATCCTCTATCGCAAAACAAAAATTAGTTTAGTCACAAACAGAAAAAAAAGTGCATTTTTAACTAACTGTCCATACCCCCTCAAAAAAGAAGAAAAGCCAAGAGATCAGATTATGTGTTCTGTTTGGAAGTTAAAAATACCTGCAAGAGAAATCAACTGAGATTTGCCTGGAGCTTTACCAGAAGAAAATTAGTAAAACTCACAAAAAGATGGTAAGCTGAATGGCTGGCAACGCACCAACTGCTGGTACTGTAAACATGCTGAACTGAGTTACCAGCTTCTAAACGATGGAATTTAATGTTACTAAGAATAAACTCAGATTAATTTGTAAAAAAAAAAAAAAAAAAAAAAAAGGGCGGTGGTGATAAATTTTATGTCTTCACAGAAGGGAAAAAAGCCTTTAGAAGAAGAGGTAAAGTCTCCCAGGTGCCGGAGAGTTTGCAGCTCTGCAGTTTTCTGTGGTGTCCAAGCCCTGGCAGCCCACAGCCGAGGGACAAACCCGACTGCCAGTGAGAACTGTGCTCCCCCGGCTACGGGAGCAGGGAACTGCCCTTCTGCTGGGACCTGGGGACTACAGGAGACAAACCCTCTGCCCGTTCCCAGTCAGATTTCTACGGGGCCTACTGAAACTCCACAGCTCCGTGGCCTCAGGGCAGGTTTTGACCTTGAAGCAGAAGATGCTCAGCACCGCTGCCGCGTTCTACCGGGAGAACTGCGGGGTCCCCCCGCCACCGAGCAAACCGCACCGCTCGCGGGGCTCCCTCCCCTGTCCCCCCCGGGCAGCC